TCTCTCTCTCTCTCTCTCTCTCTCTCTCTCTCTCTCTCTCAGTGCACTGACATTATCAATTCAGGAGCAAGGGCAAACATCATGGGATGAAGGCAAAGAAAGGAGAGAATATCTTTAGGAATCTTTTTTTGTAATAACATTTTTTATAAATGCTCATTTACATGTATTTAGTGCATGTTTCAAAAATACATATAAAACATACATATTTAGTGCATGTTTTAAAAATATATATAAAAATATATATTGTTTATTTAAAATATATATTTTACGACGAGATCATGTAAGATAAGATTTTTGCCGGAAAACATGGTTACACTGCCCAGGTGTTTGCTTCTGAACGATTAACTTAAAATCATTGAAGCAAAAATTTTTAGAAACTACATGAAAGTGACTTCGTTTATACGTAGTGGTTTTGAAAAAAGTTATATTTTCACAAAATGACCAATTTTATCACGAATTTCTGTGGAAAATCGGTCAGTTTCTTTTACGTTCCTCCGCGAGTTTTTGAAAGAAATAAAAATCCGCACGTACAAACGAAAAGAATTCGATTACGAAGAATTTGCCGCAGGATAGAGGTCAATCGGGTCAATAGCTTTCTAAATATCTTCCGGGTCAGCTTTGAAAAGATAGTCTCGAGAGACATGCGTTTAAAATCTCTCCCAGTGCCCTACGCGCTTCGACAACGCTCCAGAAACACTTCTCCTCTAACTTTGTCAATTTTCAACCAATCTTTTTCCAAAATTATATAATCTCTCAGAAAATGCAACAAAAGAAAACCGACTTTTTTAATATCTCTAATCGTGATATTCCCCCTAATTCCAGCAACGAATATGCAAATCGCGCAACTAGCCACACCAATTTTCTTCTTTTATGGACAAACTTTGGTATCGAAAGTCGCTTCGATATTTTCAAGTCAAAAACAACATTTCCGTCACGCCGACATAACCCGTCTCTCGAGTTTGAGATGAAAAATATTCGCGGTTATACACATCGAGATGCCGAAGAACGCGCACGATCCTATCCGACAGTTTTGGCAAAACTCGGACTTCTCGGCCATCCTATGTCGCAGCGTGTCCTTTTTACGACCGTTTCGGACCAGCGAAAAATGAGGCAACGAAGGGGAGGGAGTAGTGGGGAAATGTTATTTCTTTTACGAGCGCAGGGAGACGTCGCGCGAGCTAAAACTCTAGCGGCGGGACTCTCTCGCGCAGAAGCAGCGACTCATTTAAAAGCCATAATGTGTTTTCTTCGTGGTGTACGCCGAGTATTCGCCTGACTCAATTCACAACATTCCCCGCATACTTGCGCATCTAGTAACAAGTGCATACTCATTTCCGATGAATACAGCGGCCCTTCTACCTTCGACCTTGCTCCCATTTGTCTACGATGCTTTCTCTCATATTGTTCGCCTCTCCTCCATATCGTTGCATTCTTGTGCGTGAAATAAAATGTGTATTGGCAGAGAATCTTAGCTCTATTTGTAGCTACCGCTACAAATTCATCTGTAAATTTTCCAAAGGGATCTCGTAATTTGCTTTTTTCTTTCTTTTCTTTTTTCCCTGCGAATTCCCGATTCTCTCTACGAGCGAATTGAACTGGAGAACTTTACGCGCGATTAGTACTCGCGGAAGGCAAAAGTTGTTGGGAAAGTTGCGTGCAAAATTCATTATTCCGGTAGTCTTTCGACGCAAATTTCACGGAGACCGTCTCGCGAGAACAGAGTTAGTTTAATCAATCGACATTTTCGATACTTTATTTTCCGCTCTGTCGCCACCTTTTATTCAAGCCGAATTCAACGGCAATTTTTTCAGACAAAAACAATGCTCGGGAATTTATTTAAAAAAGACTATTAAATGAACATGTTAGAGAGAATTTTATACGTGTAATTAAATAACATATATCTACATTTCAACGCAAAATAAAATTTTCTGCTTAAATGCAAATATTATTTAATTGTATATAAAATACAATCATATTTATTGAGTACACTATGTGTGAGAGGAGAAATATCTAAAAAATATTTATTCGGTATATAAGTAACATATTTATTTCAACCTAAATTTTTTTATTTAAATTTATTTACTTTGAATAAAATAAACAATTGCTTTCATGAAAAGCTATGGTTTTAAGAAAATGTATATTTTCTTATTTGAAAAATATTATATGTGAATAAATACGTTATCAATATTCACCGAATAAATTTTTATTCATTTGTAATTTTTTTAATAAATTCCCGAAAATTGTTATTTTTTTGGCTTGATAAAATGATTTGCTCCCTTAATCGAGTGACAGATGAAATATGTCAGTGAGACATATTTTTCCTCGTGGACAATAATGCAAAGAGGAAAATAGTCCCTTCCTTTTTAAGAATCCGCCTAGAAAAAGAGCGAAATAATCTGATTCGACGGCTAGTCAAGAGGGATGTTTTCACCGAGGAAGGGAAAGAGAAGGACGATCAGTTACACCGTGAGAATGTCTTTCGTGACATCAGCCAATGAAATGTCGATGTTCACGGACCTGCCAAACGGCCGTAATTTTTCCTTTCCGATTCATAGACCTCTCGGAATTTTAGCCGCCTACATTGCGACGTCTCCTCGCCCTCTTGCCAGCTAAGCTGTTGTCGCAACGATTTATAGCGAATCCTCCGAGTGCCCTTGGCATCCAAGTAAACGAAGGAGACGAGACGAGGAACGAAAGTAGAAATAGCCGCGCTGGTGGACAGGAAGAAAAGGACGATGATGCTTTCCGATATGGTTAACTAACTTGAAACGTATAATCAATCGACAGTATCTAAGGA